TATAAATATGTATAATTTTACATATGGAAAGAGGATATAGAAGTTGCTTTAAATAGAGTGAAGAACAATAGTTTACAGAGTACCACAGAAGTGTGTGGAATTACACTAGTGGAAACAAGGAAAAGAATGCCATGTTGAATGATAAAGTGGAATAAGCCTATGAATAAAGAAATTGCATATAAGGAGGTGGGTTGCTCGAAATAGAATGAGGACGAGAAAAATATATTGTGTGATGTGAATAGAAGGAAAACTCTAGTTACAAAGAATGCAGTCAAGGATAACAAGGAATGGTTAAGATTAAAACAGGAATAGAACTTGAAGGGTGATTTTGTTTGAAATATAAGTGAATAAGGAAGGCTAAGCAAAAAGCTTCCAAAAGAGTGAATGGAAATGAAAACAAAAGTTATGAAATTATTTAAAATTAAACTAAAGAGAAGAAATGCTAAAGCAAGTATTTTGCAGTTTGATATGGCAATGAAATGATATGTCAAAGGCAGAATTGAAACATATGCTACAAATGTTAAATAGCCAAGAAAAAATGATGAAAAGGAAGTCATAAATTATTTTATAAAATAGGAAAATAGTAATATGAAAAAAGATTGTTAAATTCCAAGAAGAAAAGAAGAAAGCCAATGGTATGTCCCCCACCCCAAAAAAGAACGGAAATTGCCATGAAGAATAATGAAAACAAAGCCAAGAAAGATAAAGAATTTGGGAAGGATTATAATAAAGAATTAACAAATAGTTGCTAGAAAAGACAAAACACAATATTATGACAACATCTGTAGATACCAAAGATGGAAACAAATACGGGAAAACAGGAGAAGTCTTCCAAAAGATCTCCAGTTTGGAAGATCCCAAACTCAGAAGGTCTGCTAAAGACGCCAATGATGGTAACTGATTTAAAGGAGATAAAACAAAGATGAAAAGGATATTCTGGAATTCTAAGAAGTAGACATTCTTAGAAGATATTCCCCACCTACAATAACCTCTAGTACTGAAAATAGATCAGGATTATGATAATTATCAAATTAGAAAGCTACAGGAGTTAATGGAATACTGTATCTATAGAAATGTAGCAAGTAACAGAAAAGTCTGAAAATGTTTTCATCTACCGTATTTATGCCATCAAATCTGGAGGACAATGCAGTGCCCAATATCAATACCAAAGAAAGATGATGCAACAGAGTGGACAAACAATTATACAATATCCTTAACTTCATGGGCTAGCAAAATAGTATTTAGGATTATCCAATGCAGATTAGAGCTGCACAAGAGTTGTTAAAGGAGATGGCAGAAGTTCAATCTGGTTTTAGAAAAGGATAAGAAATATCAGAATTATTGTAATGGCACTAATAGTAATTATCAGTAATTTAATTAACAGTAATTAAAAAAAACAAGAATAAAAGAAGTTAAGCATTGATTATTGAAAGACTTCAGCTTGTAGCGATCTTGTCAAACTATTGAATGTGTTTAGTAAAGCAGAAATTTGCAAAACATGCCATTGTCCTCAGCTAAGGTATATATACATCAGAGGTGGGTTCCTACCAGTTCGCACCAATTCGGTAGAACCGGTTCGTCAAATCTACCGAACCGGTTAGAAGAGGTTCCACCAGTGGACCCGGAAAGCAGGCCACACCTACAGAAGAGGTTCCAAAAAATTTTGAAATCCACCACTGGCAAGGATCTGGTAACTTGCCAGCTTTAAGACTTGCATGCTTCAATGCCAGAGTTTCTGAATAGCTACTTGGACCAACCTAAGTACTAATTCATAATTTCATATCCGGTCACGTGGGCAGCAAGACACTCCCACAAAGGAGGCCACACCCACAGAGTAGGTTCCAACAATTTTTAAAACCACTGATATACATGGAAAGCCAGACAGAACTCTGCTCCAGTGCAGAGGTTGGTTGTTTAATTCCATGTTAATTCCATAACATGGAAGTAAAGCACTTGCGAGAATAAATGGACAACTGGCTAAACATATCAGTACTAAGCAGGAAGCAAGATAGCAGTACATGATGTCTCCTTAGGTGTTGTGCAATGCTTATACATACACAGAGTGCTTTGATGAATTTAAGAATTTGGATGATGGGGCTAATGGATATAGGTACACTTATGTATATAGATATTACATTTTTGTTAGCTGAGAACTTAACTGAGTTGCAGCAAATGCTAGGTAGATTGCATGATGCCATGAAGAGTATCTACCTGAAAATTAATCAAAGATTGTTGTTCATGCTTATTTCTGGAAAATATCTCACACTATAAACTTACTACATGAGCCTAAGTCCCCATCTTCCCATCTCCAAATCTTTGTGTCTAAAATACAGGCATTAGCACTGTTGTGTCCATTATAGGGAGGGAATGAATGAACGATAGATACCAGTTAGGATGTCTCCTATGTATTATTTACGGTAATTGTACCTTCTTTTCTATCAAGTTTCGCTATGCAACTTTGCACCTCTATGCAATAGTATGATTTTTGCTAGATATTTCACACAGTGTCAAGAGGCTGTGAGTCCAAGTAAGGGGAGTGGTTAATGGGAGAGAAAGTGGACATGCAGCAGGCTGAGAGTAATTTGGCTTGAGCACAGCTGCAGCAGGCCAACCCTGAGGCTTCAGGTGAGAAAAGCAAGCAGCTGCAGTCATGAGGAAGAGAAACTGCTTTCTACACCTGATCCGAGACCATGTAGGGAAGTTTTCCTTCCACATTCAGACTACAGCTCTTAGCTTTATTGTGTAAGGGCATTTGTAATCAATTACATAGTGTGATGTGTTTCTAGGCCATGTGATTTAGCTTTCAGTATCACACAAATTCACAAGTATTAAATTATTCCTGTCTATCAACTTTAGATCAGTTCTCTTCCCCCCCTTCTCTGCAGTTATCTACAAAAGTGAAATGTATCGCTTTACTTTAAATAAGTATATATACAATTGAAAGTGAATAGGTCAGCATGCAATTTGTAAAGCCATTTTAAAATATATCATAAAAATCCAAGAGGAGGATTTACTTACTTATTGTTTGTTTGGTTTTGTTTCTTTTTTTTATTTGGTTTTTTTTTTTTGGTTTCTTCCAAGCCAATGTGGAATATCATAAATGTGGCATTTTTAGAATGTCATAAATAAATCTTTCTTGACAGAGAATTCCATTCTCACACTGCAGAGAAAGCTTTTCTACGGCATTTGGGTCAGTTTTGTGTCTGTCACTTCTGAGTCATAGAAAAATTTCTGGAGCTTGAACAATAACAAAAAAAGGAAGCTGAACTTGATTACATCAACTAAGCAGTGCATTTGGAGAATTAAAATAGATTGAATCTCACATTTAGCACCTATAATGGCAAAAGGAAGTGAAAGCCTATTTTTCCTTTGAACTTGTAAACATGACATAACCAAGTCTGTTTCCCCACATTACATTATCTTGTTAGGAACTATATTTCTTCCTGTTATAAAGTTCCTTTCAGTCATTTGTGACAAATAGAAAGAAATATTACTTATCTCCATATAAACAGAATGAAATTGACAAAAGGCAATGGAGATTGAGCCCATGTAATTGATATATGTAAACCCGAAAAGCAACAATCAGTCAGCAAAACTACGGAGGCTCCAGTCCATAGCCTAATCCCATCAAAGTTCCACTCACTGGTCTGAAGAGCCATATCAAATGCTATTTCCGGGGGGTCTGCTACTTCAAAAAAAAATGGCTCTGTTTACACAGACAAAGAATAATCTGGTTTCCTTCCCATGGTTTCAGCATCCTAACAGCAAGTCAGAGTCCTAGAATTTCCAGCTCCAGAATTCAAAATTCCTTGGAAGAACTTAGATTTCTATTGTATTCTGTTTCTCTTTTCTGTAAAATGGAACCCAATAATTATCATTTCAATAAAATATATGATATTTCCTTGAACCTTAGAGTTATGCTGCATTTTTTGCAATACCTCTTTCACAAATCATGGTAGTATTCTAGCAATATTTGATCATATAACTTATTTTTAATCATAGACTGCAGAAAATATAAAGATATTTCAACTAATTACAAGAGTGTTTGATCAATTTTAATTCAGGTTAATAATCTATCCATGCAAATGTCATCTTTCAAACAAGAAACACTACTCCTTTTATGAAACTGCCATTACTCCTACTACTATAGTCCCCGTAGCAATTTTCTTGACAATTAATATATTAGAGGCAAAGTAGGTACTTGATATAATTTTATAGTATTTATTTCCATATGGCTACATAAATTAGGGTAGATACGTCTACGGATAAGAAGGGAGAAAATATTATAGCATAATTATTCTTCCACTTTAATAGGTGAGCTGGAAGCATCACACAAGTGATGTTATTTTGCCTAATTGGTTTAGAACAGCTACTCATATAGTAATAGACAATTGAGGCATGCTTGCTACATCAATTGTACCAAAAGTCATAATACAAGTCTTATTTATAACCTGTTCCTTCAAAAAGATACACCAAAATAGCAGTCCTTCCCACTCCCAATGTTTAAAAATGTAAAAAATAAAATAAAAATTTGATGTGATATATATGTAGTATAATTGTTCAGTGTGTGTGGCATGTTGGAACATAAACGCTGTCTAAAAAGCTGCTCTTTGTCTCATATATGACTATTTTTTCAAAAGCAAAAATTTCCTCATATTTATGTTGCTTCAGAACTCAGTTTTTTTTAAATGCTATTAAATGTATAATTTTGGTGATGCTATAGAACTGGGATTCCTACATCAATATATAACTGAGTTGAAAAATAAATTTTCTTTGGTTTAAATCATCTGTAATCCTATTTCCTGTGGAATTCCTCATTCAGAGAATAACAAATTACTTGTACCTACCAGGTATCTCAATCTGGATGCAGCATTTCCATAACACTCTATGATGGAACAAATTTACATCTGAATCTTCTTTGTATTACTGAAAAAGTTAGTTAAAATCAACCTAACTTTTTTTCTTTCCTTCCTTTTTTCTTTTCTTTCTTTTCTTTATAGTCCATGAGTTTAATTGAGATTGGCAATCCTTCTCAAAGTTTAGAGAATGTGTGTCGTTGGGCCTACCTACAACAAAAACCTGATACTGGGCATGCAGAATATCATGACCATGCAATTTTTCTCACAAGGCAGGACTTTGGACCTTCTGGAATGCAAGGTAAGTAACCTACTACCAATCACCCCATCTAACTTGTACTGTTAACCAGGCCAGTCAGTGAAAAACAAATCTCAATTATTAATACTTTGCTACTGAGCACAGATGGACAAATGACATTCTATAGATCCTTTGCAGGCCTCCACTATTTTCTCACTGAGCCCCTGGAGATGCTATGCTAAGTCCTCCCCACCATTCAGCCAAAGAGCCATGCAATGACTCTCTGAGACATACTATGGTCTGTCCTTCTCCACACTAGCAGCTAAAAACTTTGAAGGCTAAAATAATGTTGGCTGTCACCAACATAATCTTATCTTTGAAATGGCCTCTCTTTCCCAGGTCTCAAGTCTAGGGAGAAGATAGTTTAAACAGATAAGGAATGGTTTGCCTACATCAGGCATCTTAACATGGACACCAGTGGTGGGATTCAAATAATTTAACCACTGGTTCTCTGCCCTAATGACAATCTGGGTAGGTGGGGCTCGGTGGTCATGTGACTGGGTAGGTGTGGCCAACTCAAGGTCACTCAGGTCGATGGACGCTTCGCCTTAGCTGTAACAATGTAATTTCCAGAAACTTAGAAAGTTCTTTTTCCTTGTTCTTACTGTTGCATCAGCTTCTCCTCCCTTAA